GCTAAGTCAAGTACTCAAAAATTAGGAAATGCCAGAATTTAGATTGCTCGTGTAACCTTAATTTGACTCCCTTATACCTATGCATTGTGATGCAATATTTAATCCCATGATCACTTACTAGTTTTTCCACAGGACCCCTGACTCATTTAGTGCACAGGATGGATGGTGTTTAGGGATGATCACCACTATGTAGTGAAGGAAGCTGTTGTCTGTAGGACCCCTGCCTCATTTGTTGCAGAAGTTGGAAGGTGCATGAAGCAATGGATGACAGAAAGAGTAAGGATGGTGTCATAGCTTCGGCAGCTGAACAGCACCCTGGAGAACTGATTCTCTCCCCATCTCGGGCATATAGGTCCTATGAGCTACTGGGCAAGTCACTTAATCCAAACTTTTCACAGGGGGTCACTAAAACTATACGTTCACGTTCTGGGTGTCCAACTTGAGACTACTGGTGTCTGATTTGCAGACGTGCTGAATGGTCACAACTGCAACTGTTCTCCGAACATATAAAGTGCTACAAAACACTAAGTTCTCTGAAAAGTTGGGTCATAGACATTTCAAAATGAGCATCCCACTTAGTGTGTATTTTTCATGTGAATGCCTCTGTCTCTCAGTTCTCCCTTCTGTAAAATTAGAATAATGCCCCCCCTTACATCACAGGGGCATTGTGAAGATTAATTTATGTTTGTTGAAGTAGTCAGATACTATAGGAGCAAGATGAAAAGGCCCACGAGGTAATTAATAAACCTGTCTTCAGAGCAGGATTGGAATAGTGTGCAGTAAATAAGGCCTGGGGCCACACATTGTTCAGCGAAGGTTATTCATCCAAGGTAAAATTAAAATTAATAGAAAAGCTGTTCATTCATTGAGCACCGTCCAACTTACATGCTGAATAAGGTGGGGTCCTGTGGCTAAAACAGTGTGTGATCATGTAATTAAAGACCAGATTATAATGCATACGCACAAGGGGACTGGATTAAGTTTACATGGGCAATCTTAAAATCTGGCATTTCCAAACTTTTGCATGCTTGATTTTGCAACCTTAACACTCTTTCAATGTAGTATTTTGTGTGCCATTAACAACTACCTTCCTGAGGCCTGAATCATGATCAAGTCCCCATTGTGCTAGACGCAGTACAATGAATCATGTGTGTCTTTAAAACTTGCTCATATCAAACATTGTTTCAAGTGAATCGAAACCACACACCTTAGCTAGGTGCTTCTACTCAACTAAAAGATATTCAGGCCAGAAGGAAGCAATGTAACGATCTATTCTGACCTCCTGTATAAAACAGATCAGAGAATTTCACCTGGTAATTCAGGCATCAAGCCCATAACTTGTGATTGAGCTAGATGTATATACTAAACTGACCAGCAGTGAAATTGACATTTACAGTAAATCTGCATTAGGCTTCAGAATCTTTACCCTGTTGAGATGGCTGAGGCAGGAGACACCTAACCACGTTATTACAGTCCTGGAGCCTGGCTGACGCTGAGAGTGACAATAAGGGGTGAGCTCCTTTATACATCTCAACAAGGCAATAATTTTGAAGTCTGACTGAGGATGCTACTGAGATGAATGGGGCAGTTCACACCTCTCAGAGTTTTTTGGGTCAGTCAGTCTAACATTATTTGAAAGTCTATCCCCACAATTAGGCCTTGTGTCTACACAGAAGTTGAACCACTTTAATTATAGTGGTATAGTTAAAGCAGTACCAACTGCCTAGTGTGGCTATAGTTATCTTGGTATAAAGGTGCTTAGGCCAATAAAACTCATTCCCCTATATGTTGGGGAGTACGCTATAATAGTATAAGGATCCTTTCTATTGATATAGCTGTGTCTACACTAGGGTTTGTACTGGTTTAGCTATTTTGGTTTAAAAAACAAAAAAATGTATCTTCCCTCTAACCAAAAGAGTTATACTGGTACAAGATCTGGGGGTAGACTAGCCTTAGATAGTCAAACTACTATGACTATTTTTTTTTTAAAAGTTTAACTTCAATTCTGTAGAAAACAGTTATATCCATAGACAGATCGTAACTCCATAGAACTCTGCAGGATTTCTACAGAGCATATTTCCAGTGGCTCTATTAATTTTAAAGCCAAAACTTTCAAAGCCATCGTAGGGTATCTGAACTTCTTATTCCCATGAATTTATCATTCAAACCCTTTAAGCAGCTTTGAAAGTCTCAGTCCTAGGTATTTTTATACTAAAAATCGTATCTGTTTAAACATTAAAATCTATTTAAAAATTGATTTAGTTAAATAACCCCTAATGTAGATGCACTTAAATGGGATTAGCTCTATTTGGTAAATTACCAATGCAAAGCAAATTTATTTAAGCAATGGTTAACAGGTTATACATTAGGGGGTTGCATTGGTTTAACTAGATGGATTTTAAATCAATTCAGTTAAACCAATATAATTTTTTTTT